TGTGTATAGTCACCACATGCAATATGCAAATAAAACACTTGCAACATATATCTGAAACAGATAAAATATTTAAAACATACACTTGCAACGTACGCGTATAGCCACTGTAACATATGCAACATCTATATAAAACGCTTGCAACTTGCAACATGAAAACACTTGCGGCAACATAAGACTGAAAACAAATGAAACATTTGAAACATACTATTGCAACATATGTGTTAAACATATAAGCCATCCAAATCAAAATGTTTACAACATACATCTGAGACAGATAAAATATTTTGAACAAACGCTTGCAACCTATGCAACATGTGCAATATCTCGATCTACTTCTGCAACATCCGTATGAAGCATTTCCAATATACCTCTGAAACACTTGAAACATACGCTATGCAACATGCGCTTTCAGCGTAGCGCAACATTTCAAACCTTGCTACTTGGGAGAATGGAGGCTCGTTGGCATGGGAGTTCATCGAAGGAAGCGGGCCGACGGCGGCAGCGCGACGCGGCAAGAAGGCAGCGTCGCATAAGGATGGCAACGGGGATGTACCCGTCGGGTATCGCCGGAACATTCTCTTCCCCGCTACGGAGAATTCATTCCGTCCCCGTCCCCGTTAACTGTCTCGGGTATAGATTCTTGCCCATCCCCATACCCGTCGGGTATTGGTCGGGTAACAGATACCCGACGGGTACTGCATACCCGATAAACAAGGACACTTGAGGTCGTAGCTTTGCAATAGGAGACGTTTCTTCTTCACCCGGGTATAAGTGTCGGAGTCTCGGAAATGCCGAGGAGAAGGAGCAAGGTTGCGAGGAGGACGAGCAAAGGTGGCAGAAAGACCGAACTTAGGAAGCGAGAGGCACGAGCGCTCGTGAGGCAGGCGTGCTTGTGCTGCTGATGGAGATGGTGAGAAAAAATTGAACTAGGGTTCCTAGAACATACAAACTATATATATGATTGTTCAGATTTAGGCCAAAATATCTATGTTGAGCTTTTTTGGGCATAATACTCGCATGACAGCTCAAATAGTTTGGTTCTCCAACGGGTAACGGGGACGGATAAACAAAGAACGTTTCTGTACCCGCTATACCCGTCGGGGATAGATTCTTGCCCATTTAGATGTTCGCGGGTAAAGATATGATCCCATCCCATTCCCTAATAAATCAAATACTCGTCGGGCATCGGATATCAGGGCCCGTTGCCATCTTTAGCGTCGCATGACTTGGAGAGGGAGCCAGATCTGTCGAGAGCCACTCGTGCCAGACCTGACGCGCGGGTCCACCCGTGATTGGGGCCATTGCGCCGATGGCCGTGTCGAGGGCCGCTTGGGCCTCCGTGTCGTGGCCCGCTTGTGCTGTGGCCACGCCGAGGCCGCTGCGCCGGGACGCTCGCCTGCACCGCAGCGAGAGAGAGAGAGATGGAGTAGCGCCGGAGGCACACGCACGAGAGAGAAAGCGGATACAGGGAGGCACGAGAGGGAGCAGGGATGACTGATATATTAAGGCACGTATGCAGACCAGAGAGCAGAGCGATATCTGATTTCCAAGATACTCGTGCGGACGGTACAGGCGCGGGCGTGTCGGGGGTCCGTCCGGACGGACATCCTCGGCCTATTTTTTTTTTTCAACAAACACAATTTCATTTCAACAGCAACCACAAGGGCAAACAGCCAAATAGGTCAGTCACGTATGATGCGCGAGTTGACTGGATGTAAAGATTGACTTGACTTTGTAAAAGCGTGATAGCCGGCAAGGTGGGAGAACTGCAGGGAACCATCAATTATACTACTCATGCCAAGAAGTTGGAGTGCTTGGTTGATTTTTTTTCTTTTTCCTTCGGCAAAAAGACCGAGGCTTCGGGCGCGCCGCCGCTTCCATGGCCGTGGCGTGGGACGACGTGGGCAACGCCAGCAGCATACTGCAGCTACTGGGCGTGGACGCGTTCGGTCTGGCCTCCATGATCACGCAGGCGGCGCTGACGGCGCGGCGGAACCGCGACGCATGCCTGCAGCTGGCGGAGCACGTGCGCGTCGTGGAGGGCCTGCTGCGGAGGCTCCAGACGCTGCCCCGGCTGAGGCGACACCCGGAGACGCGGCGCCCGCTGGAGCAGCTCGACGACGCGCTGCGCCGCGCGTACCTGCTCGTCAGGTCCTGCGGCCAGGAGCTGGAGCTCAGGAGCTATCTCTACCAGCTGCTCACCGGCGCCCACACCGCTGCCAGGCTGCGCGCCGCGGAGGAGGAGATCGACCGCTACATCCGCCTCATCCCCATGATTGGCCTCGTCGCCACCGTCGGTGTCGAGGTACAGATGAAAGGGTAACTTCTGCTGTTTACCTTTCAGCCCGCTGATGTTTACCTTTCCCCCTACTGGTATTCTGGTAAGCAGGTCACTCAGGAGGTGCTGGAGTTTAGATGGCGAGGATTCAACCCTCTCCCAAGGTAATTCAGAGTTTTAATTTTCTACTGATTATTTTTACATCAACATGTAAAGTTTTCAGTAACTTGCTCTTTTGCTGTGTCTCATACCATCATACAAATGAAATTCCTTGATCTAGTGCTATTGGGGTGCTGACACTAACAGGTTTATGTAGGCTTCTGGTTGCACATTTACTTAACTGTAATGACCAGCAGAAACAATATTTATTCGTTTGCTTTAGTTTTGTCCTAAGCCAAACTTCTCTCCAGATCATGTTCTGCTACCTGCGTTGAGGAATTTCAGATTATTGGTGAACCTAAACCAGGATTTACATTAAGAGTGTGTGGATTTCCAATAAATGGTACTAAACTTTGTATTTTCCAAGTATTCACAAGCTGATCATGATTCTTCTGTCTTCATTGTTTACTGTTAATATATCTAACCACGCCTTGAAATATGGATGTTTCTTAGTGGGTTCGGTACCTTGATGATGGGACCAGGCAATCTATTGAAGGTGAGCGAGAGAAACTGTTAGTACCTCCTTGTACCATAGGGTTAGTGTTCACCATTGTTTATCACCAAGCTAGTATAATTTTACTGATACCTCTATGCTCTGCATATAAGGTGCTACGATGTACGACTATGTGGTTACAGCAGATGATGTTGACACTCTTCTTGCTGTGCAATACACCCCTATGGATGATGACGGTCTCCAGGTTAGTCACATGCATAAAACCTTGGATAATTTCATTCTCAAGAGGAAAACAAACTAGACCAGCGTAGAAGCTAGGTCCTTTTAAGAGGAATGGGCACCCACTTTGAGTTGAAAGGACTTAAACCTGAATTTCTTTATGAATTCATGAGAAAAAAGGGCACTTGCATGGGTACCCAAAAAGCTAGTCTGATCCTTTTCTAGTTGTATTGCATTTAACTTAACCTGTTAATTAGGCATTTTTTTTTCATTTAATAACAGTTGCATTCACAGTTTGTGCAACAAGTTCACTGTTTAATGTTAGTGACTTCAATATTTGATTCTTTCTGAAATTAGGTATACACTACCAAAATGGTGGACTTCTCCTAGTGTTTTTAAGCAGTAGTAAAACACTATCACTAGTCATAGCATATGGGAATCTCACTAGGAGGCATTTAGTAGGGAAAATTTATACTAAATTTTGAATGCTAAAACACTAGGAGAAGCCCACCTCACTAGAAGAAGTCTAAAATTCTGGTTGTGATTGGGTACTAGTACATTTAGTCCCATTATCAAATATGTTTGCTTCTAATATTGAATTAGCATAATCCAGATACACAGAAATATACTATTCTTGTATTTGGATTTTCAATTCTGTCGTAGCTTACTATTAGTTTGATGAATCTGTGTTCTTGAATTGTGTTTGTTAGGGTGAGTTGGTAACACCATTTGCAAATGGGAAGAGTAAGATAGCCTGTGGTGAGTTTAAAATGCCTTTTTTTTCCTCCGTCAATGTGTATCTGTGGTTCGATGATGCATAATTTGCTGCTTTTATAAGAAGCCATGTTCAATCTAGGAGGTCCGAGCTCCAAAGGCCATAAGCCCATATATCATCAGTATTTGCAATTTTGCATGAACTATTAGGGAGGGAAGTACTGTGTTTAGAATATTATACTCCTGAAAGTGGGCCTCGATTGTGCAGTTAAAACAAGGAACTTCATTACACGATGCCTGAAAATTAACATAATCAATGTCCTATTTACAAACGAAGGATATGTAAATTTGGTGAGTGGGACAATGGAGATATATAATACTAAAATGCTTAAATTGATTTTTTTGAACGCATTGGCAGGAGCGCTGCCTTTCACTTAAGAGAGGAAGAAGAGGTTTATGTACAGAGCAAGGGGGGCTCAGCCCGCCTCAGAAGAAAGAAAGCCAGAGAGAGTAAAAGGATTACAGATGGCCCTATCAATTACCCACTCCCGGATAAAGCCCTTTTCCTTTGCTCTATGTCCTCTTTGATCCTTGAGGCCACTTGCCGTGCCGATTCATGAGCATTATTGAAGATCCTCCTATTCCTCTCTTTCCATAAGTTCCATAATGTGAACATCACCAAACCATTGAAGCGTCTTCTTTCTTCCTTGGCTATCTTAGTTTCAGCCTCCTCCCACCATCTGAACTGTCGCGGATCCTGAGTTGGTAAGATCAATTGTCCATCGAAGTGCGGTTTGGTGACGGCGGAGATGACGAGGACGCGGATCTCGAGGATTTCTACGATTACAGTAGCAGGTAGTGTAATTTTTGTGCAACTTAACTTTATGATCTGACAAGTAACAAGAGGTCAATGGTCTTCTGAACATGGTGGAAATCTGATTTGCGCAAGTAGTAAAAAGCCTAAATTTGGACTGCATGGTTCATATGCACAAGAAGCATGATCTATCTTTACATTAAAAAAGAGCATATCTGCCCCCAAACTTCAGTGATTTATTATAGGAAAACACTACTAGTACTGTAATTTTCGAATCAGGTAGATTTAAAGACACTGGATCGATGAGCTGCTTACACCTGAATTTGCACGCATCTAATCTAACCCTGCTGCTCTGACTGCAGGTATGCCGATGTGGATGGCAAGCAGTTGGTTGCTGCTGCTGATGGTAACTGTGGCATTGAGCTTGGAATTGGCGGGTCAGAGCTAGTAATCACAAACAAGAGTGGAAAAGGAACCCGTGTCCGATCACTCGGTTCTCGGGAGTTCATCCGCTACTACCGTCAGAAACCGCGGCCTTCTTCTTCTACGACACGTCGTGCTCTTGCGATCTCCATGCCGTCCAGGTATGTAGTAAACACGGGCTAATCTATGACATCTTCAGTTTTTTCGTTCAAAAAAATGTAGAGCTTCTCCTTACTAATAAAGTGCAGTATCTGTACGTGTTTGCCCCTTCAGATACAAGAGCGTGGGTTTGGTGACAGTTTCGTCCGAGCTGCAAACTGTGAGGATGAAGATGTAAGGATGAAGAAGCAGGCTGATCTTGTGGTCCTCGCGTGGTACTAGGAGTAGGTATGTAAAGGTTGCAAAAAAAGGCTCAATATGTGAGATACGTGAGCGTGTTTGTGTTGGCCAGGTAGAACAGAAGTATTTGTGTTGATTCAGCATTTCAGCATAAACAGAACATGCACTTCTGTGAGACAAAACAGGAGTCTGAACATTGTCCATGATTTGTTGGCCACGTGAGCTCACATGAAGACTTGCTACTTGGCAAAAGCAAATCCAGATTGGATAAAAGGGTCGTGCAACCCCATAAAAACTGTGCAAATCCTACAGTGAACTACTTTTTATCAGTTAGTATGGTAGCATGTTTTTAGCTGGATCCTTTGGGTAAACTACTTTTCATTCAGACAGGACAGGAAGCACAGAAACATGCTAATGGCAGATGAATTCAGGAAAGAGAAACAAACCAAGAGGAATGAGAATGATTTAGTTCTTTCCATGATAAGCATGAACCGACAAGTAGGTTGATGAGCTGAAAAAAATAAACTCGCACAATTGATTCATCATCGCACAAGTAGAAGCACAAGAAGTTGAACCAAATTGACATTAGGTTACTACATGGCGCACATGAAATTGCAATGCTCTAATTTCATTATAGGGTTTCATTGCATGCTAAGTACTAGAATACACATAGAGGGCATACCCACATAGAGTAGGACAGAGTTAGAGTAACATGACGCTATGAAATTGCAATGCTCTAATTTCATTATAGGGTTTCATTGCATGCTAAGTACTAGAATATGCATAGAGGGCACACCCACATAGAGTAGGACAGCGCATGGGGGTACCAGACAACATAACATCAGGGATTAAATTACAAACCCTGAAGATCATACACAAGACAAGCATCAACTTCAGTGATGCTACATAGATGTCCCGCCAAAATGCTAGAAGTAATATCATAAAACCACCACCACCACTACCCCCTTGACCTTGAAGCACTCACATGATCTCCTTAACTTTTTCATGCACTTCAATCCCTCCTCAAGGTGCCTCACCAGTAGAGACTGCTCCCAATGCTACTGAAAAACACAAAATTCGAAAATTAAATCGGCTGGTTGAGAAATGATGTACCCTTAACATTTTTTTCTATCAAGCTGCAAAGAATAGCGAGTTGATGGCTAACCAAATGGGTAAGCATCACTTATTTATTGTACACGACTTCATCAGGTAACAACCACACTTAACCACTGCAGAAAGTTGGAATCATTAATTGAGGGGAAAACCTCTCTTTGTTAGTTTGTCTAGAACTCATATGAACATCCAGGCTAATTTCTATATTATTATTAAGTGGCGCTGACAGATCATAGCTGAGAAATAAAGGGGTTAAAGAAAGCACGACTAATGACTTCTTTAATTATCTGTCATGCTGCAAACCTTGCTCGTTGAAGCTAAGTTGTGAGGACCGTATCATCAGAGCACAACATGCATAGCAGATGCATAAATTCCTAGGAATATCAAGCAAGTTTCAATGAAGGCCCAACATAAAAAGATCTAGACAGGGTCCACTGAGTTGATATTAGACTGTGGCATTCCATTTTTATAAATTTCTTTTTTCTTGAGCATAGTATGTAAACTTCATATTGGTAACTAAATATCACTCGTCCAGAATCTTGTAAAATCCAAAACTAAGCAAAGTTGTACCTGGAGTGTAGAAGCTCATGTAAGGAATGATGGTGTAGATCTCGCTTGCCATGGAAACCTCCTTAATCACCTTATATGTCTTTAAATCAATCACGAAAAGAACATTGTTCGACCTCACAAAAATGACACCAGTACCAACTGTGAAGCCAAACAGTCTAGGTGAGGCCAAGACAGCATGAACAGGGAGCAGTGTCTTAAGCTCAATGACTCTGCTTTGTGTCCATGTAGCATCTACTTGAGAAACATCATTCCTGGACCACATGTAGAGTTTGGAGGACTCATGTATGGTGGCAAGCCCTAGTCCACCACCCTCTGTAGTGGTGAGCACATAAGGCCACTTGCTGGAGCATGTAGGTGGCATTTGAATCCAAGAAATTTCCTGTGATTCCCAGTCAAACTTCAGAATATGATCTGTCATGAGAACCCCAAAATAGAGTGCACTCTCCACATGTGCAACGTGCCTGGACATATAGCGGCCGTATGGAAGCTGATTACTGGAGATTGGCTTGCTCCATGATGCAGTACTGGATGAGTAGGTGCAAAGGACTGTCTCGACAAGTTCCCGATCATAGCCCACGAAAACGATGAGGAAGGGACCCGGGCGGCAATCAATGTGGTCGCAGGGGCCGCCGGCAGCGCAGAGAACTGCCGCTGTCCAGTCGAGCTTGTACTGCGCCACATCCGGAAAGGGCACTTCTTCCTGCACGTCCGTGGTAGGGTCCCAGACCATAAGGACATCGGGCCAGGGAAGACTCCAACCAGCGGAGATCCTGTGGAGGAGGACGCGGCCGTGGTGGGCGTCGACGACGCGCACGTGCCCCTTGCGGCTGTGGACTTGGGACGCGGGCAAGGAGCAGGTGGGGACGAATTCGACCGCACCGCGTTGACGTTGGATGCGGACATTGGAGACGAAGCCGAGCAGGGGTGGGGCGCGGTGAAACTTGCCGAATCTGCGGCGGAAGCCGGCGCCGGAGACGATGGCGCACCAGCGCTTGCAGACGAGGGCGGCCTGGACAAGGCGTGCTGGGTCGTCGGGCGGGAATCGGAGCAGGATCTCCTCCACCAGCTCCTCGGGCAGCGGCGGCGGCGGCGGCGGCGGCGCCATGCTGCGGGCGGAGCGCGAGGCGGCGAGAGGGTTTGCTGCGGAGAGCGGATCCACGAGACAGCGACGGTGCTCTCACTGAGTCACTGAAGCTGCCCGTGGGCCGTGGTGGTGAAGAATAGCAGCGTCATCTGCATCTCCATGTTGTTGGCCCAACGTCCGTCACCTTGCCTTTGAGCCCAATGGGCTATGCAGTCACCGGAGAGGCTCAGTAGGTGGTCAACCATCTTAACTTTATGATCTTATACAAGTTCGGAAGTTCCTCCTGCTTACAAGTTACAAGAGGTCAATGGTTCTCCCTGTTCCCGTGAACATGATGGAAAACTGCTTTGTGCAAGTAGTAAAAAGCCTAGATTTGGACTGCATGGTTCATATGCACAAGAAGCATGATCATTATTATGGCCCCCAAACTGCAGTTATTTATTATGGCAAAATACTAGCACTGTAATTTTAGAATCATGTATAGGTTTAAAGACATGGAATGAGTTGCTTACATCATAATATGTTTTTATGACCAAGTAGTAATATACTGTATTATTTTGGCGTCATGAAAATAACTGAATTTGCACGCATCTAATCTAACCATGCTGCTCTGACTGCAGTTATGCTGATGTGAACGACAAGCAATTGGTTGCTGCTGCTGATGGTAACTGTGGCATTGAGCTTGGAATTAGCGGATCAGAGCTAGTAATCACAGACAAGAGTGGAAAAGGAACTCGTGTCCGATCACTGGGTTGTCGGGAGTTCATCCGCTATTACCGTCAGAAGAAACCGCGGCCTTCTTCTACGACAGGTCGTGCACTTGCGCTCCCCATCTTGAGGCTTTTCGTTCAAAAAAAGTAGCGCTTCTACTCCTTACTAATAAAGTGCAGTATTTGTGGTTCCCCCTTCAGATACAAGAGCGTGGGTTTGGTGACAGTTTAGTCTGAGCTGAAAACTGTAAGGATGAAGAAGGCTGATATTACTTATGGTCCTCGCGTGGTGCTAGGAGTAGGTATATGTAAAGGCCAGCAAAAAAGGATCAATATGATCAATAATCAAGAATGGATTGCGAATTGGGATGATGCAAATCTAGGAGAGTAGGAGTAGAACTGGAATGATGGCAAAATTGTCAGAGACCTTCACAAGAATCGCCCGTATAATGGTGTTGGGAGGTTCCCTTTGACGTTCATGGAATCATGGTGTCTAATTTTTTCTTTTTTCCATTACTGATCATCATTGTGCTTAAGATGTGTCTGAATTTGAATATAACTTCCATGTATCTTTTTTGGTTGGATCTTCTGAGTCGCAAAAGCAGATATTTTGTATGTAATTTTGGTCCTTTTTATTAGTTTTGCAATTGTTCAGGACCTGCGCCGGACCCGGACATCTATGGCATCTATATATAATATAATATAATATATAATATATATATATATATATCTATATATATAATATAAAACTTTAAGTTTGAGGACGGCCACGTCGACAATACTGTTCATCGAGCGCGTCACAGACTCGTATACTGTAACGGATCACAATAAACAGTGCCAGACCCGCTAAGGAACAGTACCTTTTTTTTTTTTGCGTTCGCGCCTGAAAATTAAAAAAAAAACGTGCGAAGCACGGGGCCTCCAGCTAGTATAGTATATATGTGTGCGTTTTTCTTCTCTGTTCTTTGCTGTGTGCCATGAGCTAATCCTAGAGACTAATTAAACTCGCCCCAGACTGCTCGCTGAGTAATATACACACTCCCATTCGTTCCCCTTGTATCGGACGTACGGAGTAGGCGAAGTTGTCGTTTCCCTTTGGATTGGATTGGAAAAAAAAAACCAAAACAGCAGATGATGTGACCTGTAGTAGATGGGAGGTGCAGGGAGTTCCCATTTGGTACCACATTCCCTTCTTCCCTGCACGCGTCATTCACACCGACCTACTCTTTGGCGCGTCATCGCTGTCAAGGAGAAACGTGCTTCTGACTCTGCCGTTTACAACAGGACGATTTTTCTCACGTTTTGACGTGGGTGGAAATAAAAAGAACAGTCGCTTTTGAAACTTTATTAACGCTGACATACCTACTGTTTCCGCATGAAATTCAATCCGTCACGGGTTATTAGCACTCTCATACACTCTTCCAATTAATTTGTACTTAAGTCGTTCCATATTATTGTTCACTTTAGCTTAGGACATTTGTCATTTTTTTAAAGTTTATTATGAAATAATATGCAACATCTAAAAACAATAAATTAATTTTATTAAAAACATATCTTGATAGCACATTTTTTTACTGTAGATGCTAATAATGCCTTGTAAGAAAATGATCGAACATTCCACTTCAATAAAACTAAAGTACACTATAATGCTATAATTTGAAACGGAGTAGCGAGTACACCAATGAATTATATGGCCATATTGAGAACGATGAATGAACACATGAATTTTATATGAATATAATCTTTGTTTTCGAGAATGACATGAAGAGGAATTTTAGCAACTTAAAATGGGTAGCAGACCACTATTACGTAATTTAAATACAGTGTTCAACACTTGACCAAACATCTGGAAGAAAATAAAAAAGGGAAAAGAATTGAAAAGGAAAGCTACGGAAGGCAAGCGGCGGAAAATGTCAAAGGAGAGTGGCTGCAATCGCCGGCCCGCCTTTCTCTCCACTCGTCGCACGCAACTACGCAAGCGCAAATGGCTCTAAAAAGTCCACCTCCAAACCTAGACTAGACTCCTCACC